CACACACACACACACACGCCTGGACTGGTGCAGAAACACCTGCAGGTCATGCCTGTGCTCTGGATGGTTATTTTATAGTAAAATATAGAACATTTCACAACCGATTTTTCAACCATTTTTGGGAGATTTTTCTAGCTTACTTTTGGATTTAATACTGATGCAAGGCAGATGTATAGAGAGTGTGTCTGTTAGTGTGTGATGCTGGCTAACCAGTGCCTGGTGCGAGCTGAACTTCATATTTAAAGTGGCTTCATTCAGTAGTAAACCCTGATCCACTGTAGGCTACTACTATCGTGGATGTGGGCCAAATACTAAAACATGATGGATCGCCTGATAAAGCAGCAGAATCATATTTATGTTGCACTGAATGCGTCTTTAGATGGATGGTCTGTCTACCAGAGCATTCCTGTGTGTGTGTTGTGTGTTGTGTGGTGTGTGTGTGTGTAGCACTGAGAAAAAGGCAGATCTTTCTGATATTAAGACAGAGATGCAGACTGTTAGTTTCAGGCTCTTATCACCTGCTGTGTGTTTTTTTGAGTACAGATATGTATTCAGGAAAACTTGTAAAAACTGTTCTCGACTCTGTAACTTGACTTCATCTGCAATCTATATGTCATGCCCAATTTGTGTTATGGCCGTCAATTGATGCAAGGCTCTGTGATGCTGCCAATGTGTCACCCTTTAGCCTTATATGTTCCATAAATCCATTATGTCACAATAAGTTGACCAAATCTATCAAAAAACAGTTATCAATAGCAACATAATTTGAGTAAGAGTACTAATTATTTAAATGTCTGTCGGACTCTTTGGGCTACAACAGAAATCCTCTATTTTTCAAAATGGTTAACATTCTAAACTCAGTTTATATGATTGAAAACATTAAACGACCATATAAAACGAGACAATTACCCAAAGGTAACTTATGTTGCATATGTAAAAATAATTATATATGTATACATTTTTTAATCAGTCCTGTCCCTAGCAATTTAATGCTTCATCAGTGAGAAGTGATTGCACGTGAGGAAAAGTCTTTTCTGTTGACACATTATAGGTTCTGTGCTGTTTTTAAATTTTTCTTATTAGGAAATTAATTGAATTTAAAATTGAAAGCTAGGTAGCACGCTGTTTTCCATAAATGTTATTGTTACTTACTTTATGTATTTAGCTCAAGAAACCTAAAGTATTAGTCCTCACATCAATGAGCCATTAAATTGCCTCTTAAGCGAATATGTTTAAAGTGGGAAGGCGATCAACTCTTGTGTAGAATGCATTGTTCACAAATTCTCAGAGGCAGCTGTCTCATGTCTGTCAAGAGGCTCAAACATGAATACTCATTGGATAAATTTAAGAGAGACCTTGTTTTTCAAGGTTTTGCCTTCTTCATTGTTCAATTGTGTTTAAATTTTCATGATTTACTTCACTATGCTTCCATTTACTGTCCAGTATTCTCCTACAGTGCCAGTTGAGTTTAATAAGCCCGCGTCCAACTTATGATTGTTTGATACCTGTGTGTAATGTGTCATTATTTATTTTTATTGTCATGAGTCAGCTCCCTCAAATACTCTGATGCTACTTTCAGTGCATACTATTTCTGTGAATACAGCTGGGAAATACCTCCTAGCAATAGGAACAAGTAGAATATAGTCTCCATTATGACTTACCAGGCATTATTAATTCAGGGGGTACAATATGTTAACACACAGCAGGGAATCCAGCGTTCATAGCCTGAAGTATTAAATATTAAATCGCACTAATGCAATCAATTGTGCCTAAGATGAGGAAAAAATATCTGCTGGAGCTTGTTTATGGTTAATTTTGACATTCATACATACAGATGTTTTGACGATTTCTTTATTTTCTTTTGGAAAAAGAAAATGGATGGGTGGCTCAGACACACCCAAACTTTCATCCAGGAGACTGCTGTTTGTGTCTGGTGTATTTTAACTTACATAGGTAAGTTAACTTAGATAATGAACTTATATCATGTATGAAATGTGGACTTGGGTTCACACGGGACACTAACGTACTTTTCTAAACCTAACCACGTAGTTTTGATGCCTAAACCTAACCAACATGCAACCATTTCACAATTGTATGCCTGACACTGGCACTCTCCAATGGTCAACAGTCGTTGGAAATCGACCTATTCAGTCGTTTAGATATGAGGACATATCGAATAATTCAAGCATGTGAAGAACTCTTTGGAGTTGAAGATGTGAAGAACTCTTTAGAGTTGAAGATGTGAAGAACTCTTTGGAGTTGAAGATGTGAATGTCAGTATGTTTGTCAGATTATTCCAACTGAACACAGCAGAACACTGTCAGCCAGTAAAGTAAAAAAGGATTATGGTTAATAAAAACATATTTAAGTAAGTCTAAGTCCTGTAACAGTAATCTGAAAATATTAAAACTGCAGTCATTATAGTAAAAAGACAATGTTCTGAACACAACCAATTATTACGCCACAAATACAAACACACGTTTTTTAATTCTTTGAATTAACCTTCAACACTATAGAGTCATCTCATTTGTAGCCATCTAATTACCAGGTTAGCTGAGATAGGGCCCAGGCTGTAGCACCACCTCGTAACATGGTTATTTAGATGGCTACTGAGTGACATGTCAATTGACAGTCAACTTGTATTATTTCATCAACAATCCAGTTTCTTCCTCCTTACACTGTTACAATGGTCAAATTACATTTACAAAAACACTTATTTTACATATTTATGCCAGTTTATGTTTATTTGTGTAAATATCCAATCCTAAATGACAATTCAACAATTGCCAGCTCCACTAATAATGTATACAGAAACATCCTAAACATCAACACAACCTTATGGACTAATCAAGATGTTTAGTTAAATATATGGTCAGAGAGCAATCTGCTCCCACAAATATTATAGCTTTAAGTTTGTGAATGTGCACATGAGATGATTATACACTAATTCTATCTTTCCATCCCTACAAATAATTTTCTTTATATTAAACAAAGAACAAATAAGATACCAGACAGGACAAGAGACTACTCTGCACATAACAAGAAGCACAAACTAATATTACAACCAAGATAATACAAATAATAATTTTAATATGAATAATACAAAAATAAACACATCTGTAAATAAAGGAAGGAAGGGTGGCTATAATAGAGAGTATACAGGTACTGAAATTTAAAAGAAAATATGTTGAAGCTTAATATTCCACAACAGAACTACAAGTCTTCATGTTTTTATTTATTTCCTGCTTCCTATTTTCTCTTCCTCATCTCTGCCTGTCAGACATTTTACATTTTCTGCACTATTGAATGAAGTTAAAGTGATGAAACAATAAATTATTTAAATCCAATAGTGAACAGCACCAAC